CAAACCAGCCCTTCTGGCGCTTCGGCTGGGACCGCATGCTGAATGTTGGGGAGTGGATGGAGTCCCCGACGGTGGACGAACCACTTTAACTCGGTCCTTAAAACCGACACAATTTGGTGCCTACCTCAGAACTAAGCTTTGAAGAGAGGACGGGTCCGTCCCCTCTCCAAGGCTTAGTCCTGGGGTGAGCAAACCAGCCCTTCTGGCGGAGCTGCTGGACCAGCTGCACCACTTGGGTCAGTACTCTCCTATCGTACCAACCGAGTTGAAGTAAACCGTCGACCGTTGGGGACCCCATCCCCCTCCAACATTCAGCATACGGTCCCAGCCGAAACGTTAAAAGGGCTGGTTTTTGCTCACCTAGCGGTGAGCAGCTTAGCGTCTTGTTGTCGTGCCCGGTGGACGGGGTCGAGCGCGTGCAAGCGCGTGCATCGGTGATCTGTCCACCGGACCCGGCAAAACGTGGGATTCCAGTGGGTGCCCACATCACCTCGGAAGGGAATGCGTGCGCGAGAATGCTCTAGATTCCGTGCCTGCTGCGGGCTCAATCACAGGGCCTTATTCCCTGACCCCAACAAGTACGTCGTGTACTTGACGCGTGCGTTGGACCCTGATGTAACTGGGCGAGAAATGCGAAGCGTTGCATGCCGTGTAGATGTAATTGACCGTTGACCGACTAGGCGCTATGCGTGTATGCGAGATGCGAACGTAAGCGTGCTTTTAAGTGTAAAGCTAAGAGTACTTACTGAACTTCATGTAACACAACATAGAATAAGACAGAATTACAATAGAAAACCTGTAAAGAATCATTAAGATAAAACTGTTGACATGAACTACGATTAACTAAAAGCTACGGTGGACTAAGAGATCTACAAGTTTAAAGTGAACTACACATACGAAGTGAACTCCCAAGTAATATCTAAACTACAATGAAAGGTAACTACGATGAGATTGTAAAATGGGGAACCCTGGCTTATTATGCGATACTATAAAGTTAAATAAACACTATTATTTTACACTAAAGCGAAAGAAGGATATTTGGGCCAATGCGATCCGCCTAAGCTTAAGATGTATAAAGCAAAGACGAACCGACCTTCTGAGGGCCGAAGCGAATGCGAAGGCGAAGCGAGACGAGACGGAGCAACCGCTCAACGCGATTGCATCATGCCGACTGACGTGGCAGTTGCGCGGGCGATTTGAATGGCAGCAGACAGCCAGGGGTCTGTGCCTATCACAGTCGACGCTCAGTCTGACTGCGCGCATTGCGCTGCGTTGCGGCATCCTCCCGCGCATGGCCTTTGGAGCATCTTTGCTCGAGGTCGTGCGCAAGTCACGACATCTTTTCTCTCATGTTGCCTGGGCCCGCCAACCGTCCGTCGTGCCGATTTGAAAATTTTCACGATCCACCCTCTTGCCATCTTGAGGGCTCCTTAACACGACCTCTCCTAAGCACGGAGGGTACCAAATATTCCGTATCTTATTCTTTCAGCGCAGAGGTCTGCAAGTATAGACGGTACATTCCTAGGCGAACTTAGAGCGGCAATCTAGTAAGACGTGTATTCGGAAGGGCGCCCGCCCACATTCTCGGCCAACTTCTGCCTTCCGTTTTGGAATATTCCCAGAATATAAATTGACAAGGACTCAATTTCAACTGATGAAGCAACTGCTTCTTATCTTCGGGAACATAGCACTAAACTATTCTCTCCAGGAGTGTTGCGTTCCGGATAGCGACGAGATCACTCGGGCTACAATCAAAGCGTTTTCGAGCGGCTATCAGACAGTGTCCGTGAATTTCGTGAAAGAAGGCCACTTCCTGCAGAAATTTCGTGCCACGTATCTCATCGATGTGATACTCACATTAATTCAATTGTGATCTCTTGTTGTACCTTATGAATTGCGAATTCGTAGTGATTATATACCACTTCTATAGAAGCATAAAGTTATATACATACTTTATTCGATTTACAAACATATTAGGGCATCGATTATTATGACAATCAATTCAGGTTTAAGGTCCAAGGCTGCACCTATAAATCGGACCACCCAATCGCAAAAATTGGCATCAGTCATAAGCACGTTATTTCACATTTAGAGCACAGTGCTATGTCCAAGTGTGAGAATTTCTTGAGGATGGGTAGCCATTGTAGTACAGAATTCTCAAGCAGCCATTACCTCCTGAGTCCGACTCGTGATGCAGTTCTTCTGGCCACCGCCAAAAGCGTGACCATTCCAATTAATAAGCTGGCTAGCATTACGATACTCCAACATTCCACTGTCATTCGATTAGACCAAAACATCACCACGCACGATGAAAAACACTAAAAAAGATTTTGGGAGTGCATAGCCATTTTAGTATTTGTAAATGTTCATCTCAAATATCAGTTGTGAACTTTTTAAACATTTTCGTCAAAGAAGTGCTAACCTAAGCTGATGACGACTTGACAGAGTCGCAAACATTGTTCGTTAATGAGGCATCCGGCCTTTGGCGATATAAAATATTGGGATGACTCCGAAGTGAATCCAAGGTGAGAGCCACGTTTCAAGGCATAGCATACCTAGAGCTCCTACCAGCTCCCGCTACCCACGTTGGTCCTACCTCCAAACTATGTATCTCGCAGTATACACCGCATTGTACTTACTTCTCCAAGAAACGTCCCATGGGATGGAGTACTTATTACATTGGAAAGAATTCAAGAGTTCATGCCAAATCGTAAATTTTCCAGCATTTCCCGAAATTCCATGGAAATTCCTGAAGAATCTTTATATTTCTCAGAATAATTCTTTGATCCTAGTTTTTTCCTCTTCCGACCTATTTCCAGAGGAAAAACCGTTGATCCCATCGAACGCATTAGAGCAAAACAGGAACTTCCCTCTCGAGCGTTGACAATTTCATGATGAGGGCTTTTCCTGGCGGCCTACAGCGTTGGATGCTCCGATGCTAACGAGCGCTCGAGCTGCGGTAGTTCGCTGGTAATGAGTAGCGGAGCGGTTATTATAATAGAAGATGCGAACTCTAGATAGTAATCAACTACACCGGCTGCCGCGTTCAGAGTATAGAACGACGACCAGACACGCGCGAGGAGAGGATGAGATTGGCAGTCAGAGTCACAAATTTGACTTGTATGAGCGCTGCTTGAAAGGAATTGAACTATCTGAATCCTCATTCTCTAATGAATACGATGACGATTATCAATTAAACAATCGAAGAACCAAATAAAAATTGAAGCTGATTTCGCCTTGGGTAAGACAAAGGGGCAAGACCAAGAGAAGCTAAATCCATCTAAGTGTCGTGACGTGCGACTTAAAGGCAGGAGTCGGGATTGAATTGATGCGTTATTTTGTTCGAACAGCAAGGGTGCAATGAGGAACATTAGTGAGGAGAAAAAGCAAAAAGCACCATAGAAAACACTAAATTTCCCTTAGGAGGCCGGCCGTAGTACGACGGAGAGACACAGCGCTGCGAGGAGAGGGAGAACGCGAGATAGTACGTCATACGCGAGAGGACGCAGAGACCACGTATGCCGTGGTGGATTACGCTGGCAGCGCGGCGGGCAAGGCCTTAGCGCCATTGCCGCGCACTTTTGGGTCGCGATAGTGTCGCGCCCTCAGTGCTTGGGGAGCCCACTATCGCACCCTGGGAAGAAATTTGCCAGCTCGATGCCTTCAACGGGTGGGACACTATTAGGAAACGGTATATTTTGAGAGAATCCTGATTCCTAAAAACCCAGGCGAGTATAGCACTTGCTGTTTATCAAAAGCAAACCTCCGAAACTCACCATTGCGATCCTTGTCAACGAGAACACCTCATTGCGATGTTCGGGTAATGCCAATTGACACATAGTCATGCGAGCTGTCGTTATTGTGAAATCTCCAATCCCAGTAAGAAACGCAATAACGATCACCAGAATGCGACTGAATAGAGTGAACCATTTATCGTAATTTGTCGCTTTAAGTGTAAAGCGCGTATGCACAAATTCTGCAGTTTCGGTCAGTCCCAGCTACATGAACTCCTTATACTGTTAAGGTCAATGATCTGAATTCAAACAGATCGTTCTTCGAATTTCTGGAAGTTTCTCTCTGCTCAATCGCTGTTTAATGAGTGCCTTTTTCACCCTTCAAAAATGCTTATGATGGAACATCGAAAAATCGTACAAAAACCCTCATTATGGAAGAAGTCACTCATTTTGCCGCTGCAGGAAAAATCATCATCACTTTTCTGTCTACTGTGGGAATATGTAGTCGCTATATGATTTGTCTTGTTCCTTTAAAGCAACAATTCCATATCGAATTCGCGGGGTAAAAATGAAATGAAATTGTAGATGGCGTGACTGTTATAAGGAACAAAGCGATGGAAAACGCCGACGAAGTTCTAAAACAGAT